TTATTTCCCCCTCTCTCTTGTAATTAAATAAATTTTATCACTTTATCTACAAATTTAATCTCCATAGTAAATCCGGATTTGATTTAGAGGTCCCGAGCTTGGCACCTAAAATTTTTTTTTACCACTTTAAAAAAATTAATAAATAATTTTTATTTAATATTTTAACATTTTTCATCAAATACATTAATAAAATATAATATTAATGTATTTGTTCTTTAAAAAAATGTTATTAATATAAGTTCCCTTAAAACAATGAAGTTACTGAAATATAATATAATTATTTTTAATAATAAATTAAAGTAAAAAAATAAAAATTAACTCAAAATTGATAAAAATAAAATTGTCAACGCCATTCCCTCCCCTCATAAATCAAATAGAGATCTCTCCTCTCTTTAAACCAAACACAAGCTAAACAGGGAAAATATAATTAGAAGAATGATATTGAAAAATTATTATTAGTGAAAATTTATTTTTATCAAAATATTTTATATTGTAGAATGTGAAATGTCCGATAAAAAGGTTTCATAATTTAGAATGATGAAGTATTTTAGTTTTAGAACTGTAGATATTTTATATTTCTAAGGATCTAAGGGAGTACTAACATGTTGGTTCAATTAGTAAAAATTTAATTTATAATATATCAGGGCAAAAGATCTCTAATATAATAAGCGATTTGTAATTATTTTTGAAGGTAGTTTTTAAACTTAAAGGTATATATTTATCTTGATAAATTTTCAAACCAAACTCACCTAAAAAAAAATCTAATAACATACTCCCTTCGTCTTTATATATAAAATATTTTTTAGAAATTTATTTTGTATCTAAAGATAAAGAATTATAATAATATTTTTAAATAATTAAATAATTTTACCTTTATTTTAAAAAATAAAATAAAATATTAATTGTATGTTTTATCTACTATTATTATTATATTAATTATCATATTATTAGGAATAAAATTAAAAATTTATTATATTTTTATATAAATTTAATTAAATAATAAATTTTTATTGATATATATGATATTTAATTAAAAATATTTTATATATAAAAATAGAGGGTGTATTTTCTTTCTGTACGCAGGGCATTTATTAGACTGCATCTCTCAAAGCAGTATTCGTTGATTTAGTTTATGCTGCCAAGCTCCACATCAATATTTGTCATCGGGCAAATTCACCGCATCGCAATTCGTGCTCTTCTTCGATCCAGAGAATTCAACGAAGTTGCATCATTCTTCGACCAAATTCAAGCAACCCACGAAATAACACTATAACACCACTTCTAATCTAAAAACTAAAATATATAATATCAGATTATTTTTATAATTATTTTTTAATTATATTTTTATTTCATTTATTTTTTAAATGATATATTAAAATTTTAACTGTCACTATTAAGTATGGTCGTCAAACTTTTAAGTTAACTTTTTAAACTTAACATTTTTATATTTTTAACTTATAAAATTATACTCACTCACTTATAAATTTAAATTAAATACAAATTTGATTAAACTCATGGATTTACTTCCAATTTTATCATTTTTCACATTTTCCACTTATAAAATTCATGTTAACTAATTTATAAATTTAAACTAAATGCAAATTTAATTGAACTTGTTAAGCTCGTTAATTTTTTATTGGTTTGAGCGAGTCAAGTATATATCATGTAGAAATTGATTCATTGAAATAGTAGTGCTTGGTTCAAAGAGAAAACAACTTAAAAGGCCAAAAACAATACTAATAAAAAACAAAAAATATCAAAAATAAGTTGCCTTATTTTAAAATATCTATATTGTAAGATACTCTATCAATATAGATAAATTTAATTTCATGCTATGTTTGGATATATATAGATTCGAATTTGATCCAAATCTATTGTCTGCATAATTAAAAATTTAATACAAATTCAAATTCCACCTCAATCTCTTTATAATTTAAAATAATTTATAGACCCTATTATTTTAAATCCTAACTTAGTCTCTTTTGTAATTTGACCTAAATTCATGAAGGCTTGATCAACTTACTAACTGTAATTGGATCGGACTGTTAAAGTTAACGAAAACAAGCCACCACCATTGACCAGGATCGAACGACTGACTTCCATAAGGACTAAATTGATGACGATGATCAAGATGAGACAGATGACTTTCACCAGGATCAAACCAATGGCAATGATCGGGATGGGACAGTTGATTTCCACTTAGACCAGACCGACGGCAACAGCAATGACTGAGACAAGACAGCCGACATCTATTGGGATCGAACAGATGATGATCAGGACTGGGCGTCTGAGTTTTACCCGGACCTAACTGATGGTAACAACCGAGACAAGATGGCTAGCTTCGATCAAGATTGAACAAACGATAACCTGTGGGACAGGATGGTTGACTTCCATCTAAATCGAACAGATGGTGACCACTAAGATGGGACAGCTAACTTCTACTGGGACCAAATCAATGGTAACCATTAGGATAAGATGACAAACTTCTATCAAAACCTGACTGACGACTACTATTGAGATTGGATGGCCAACTTCCACTAGGTTCAGTCTCAATAGGAGTTAGCCATTCGATCTCAGTGGAAGTCAACTGTCTTATCTTGGTAATCATCATCGATCTAGTCCTAGTGAAAGTCAATCGTCTAGTTCCAATGGAAGTCGGCTGTCTAGTTCTCGTGGTTGTCGTTGATCTGATTCTAGTGAAATGTGACTGTCTAATCGCCTTTATTGCCATCAGTTAGGTCTAGATGGAAGTCGACCATTTGGCCCCTGTCGTCACTGTCGGTCAGGTCTAAATGGATGTCTGCCGTTTGATGCCCATTGTCATTGTTGGTCCGATCTCGATGGAAGTCTATCGTCTTGTCCAATCGTCACCGATGCTACAGTTCTAGTAGGCTTTGACTGTTTAATCCTTGTGAAAGTTGGCCATTCGGACCACTGATTTTGACCAATTGTTTGAGTTTCTTTTAAATTTAAATATAAAATATAAAATTTTACTTTGGATTCAGACAAAAAATTTTGAATATATGAATTTTAAATATGAGATTTTACATATAAAATTTTAAATCTAAATTCTCAACTTAAATCCATCGTCCAAACGCAACTTCAATGATTTGTATTTCAATTTAAAATATATTTAAATTAAATTATAATCATCTTTTATTTTTTTATTATTTAATCATATATTACTAATTGCTATTTATTAATAGATTTAAACTCCAATGAGTTTACAATCTTGTTACGAGTTTAACAACCTTGTTATCAAGATACTTACGTAAAATATATAATAAAAGTGTAATTAAGAAGATATAATTTTTTTAAAAAATTACAATTTTAACAATATTTTTTAAAATCATTAATTAATTATTAATATTATATATTGTGAAAGTTGGCCAACCACTAATTTTGACCAATCTTTTAAGTTTTTTTAAATTTAAATATAAAATATAAAATATAAAATATTATTTTGAATCCAAACAAAGAATTTTGAATATATGAATTTTAAATATGAGATTTTAAATATAAAATTTTAAATCTAAATTCTCAACTTAAATTTACCCATTGAAATGCAACTTCAATAATTTGTATTTCAATTAAAAATATATTTAAATTAAATTATGATCATATTTTATATTTTTATTATTTAATAATACATTATTAATTGCTATTTATTAATAGATTTAAACTGTTATGAGTTTATAATCTTGTCACGAGTTTAACAATCTTATTATCAAGATACTTACATAAAATATATAATAAGAGTATAATTAAAAAGATATAATTTTTTTAAAAAATTACAGTTTTAACACTATTTTTTAAAAATCATTAATTAATTATTAATATTATATATTGTGATTTAGACAGAGGATAGTTAATGCAACGAGGCGGAAAGCCAGCAAACAGTAAGTTGCAGACGGCTCGCTAGTTTTCAGATTTGTGGAGATAGATTACTTTCTTCCTTTATTAACAAAAAAAAAAAAAAAGGATTTTGTCAAGATCGGGATTACAGTGAAAATGTCAATAAAAAATCGAATTGGAGTCTCCCTCTCCCTCGCGAGAAAAAAACGCAGAGCCGTGCAATTTTCATTTTCGGGCATCTGCCAGGCCGAGTTCTCAAAATAGATGCCAGCACAAAATGTCCCCTGCTAGGAAATAAAGATTAATTTAATTGATAAAAACATGACTTATATTTCATAAAAATGTAGATTTGAATTCTATTGTAGCCGTGAATAACTTCTTTGTGGTAATTCATTAATAATCTTGCAAGTGTTCTTCAATCATGAAATGTAATTCATCTAAATTTTTATTTCTATAAAAAAATATGTTATTGTAAAATCGGACAAAAATGAAGTTTTCACCTTTTTGTTGTTTATTTGATGTTTAATATTTATACGAAAAATGAAATAGCAGAAACTTTTCTCAAATTAAGTGGGGTATAAATAGGGGAGAATGCCATTCTTATGAGATCCACAGCATTAAGGCTGTTCTCAATTTTTTCCTCAGAGGTGAAATAGAGCTCATTTTTAATTCTTGACACTCTTCATTCCTCTTCAACTCCAGTCTCAGCTAAAATAGACCCCAAAACATTTTGGAGCTGTTTAAAATTATTTTTCTTTTATTATTTTAAAAACTGTTGTTTTATAAAATATATTTTGAAAATAAAAAAATAATAAAAATATATATTTATCTCATTCTCTTATCTTTTCTAGAACAATAATTTTAAAATACATAAAAATTATTTTTATTTTTTATTTTCAAAACAATATTTTATTTTTTATTTTTTAAAATCTTTTTAAAAATACGTAGTCAAACAAAGTTTTTTATTTTTTTATTTTAAAAAATATAAAATTATTTTTAAAATAGATTGTCAAACAAATCCTTTACTTTGACGTTTATTTTAGAAAAGACAAACTTTACAGAGAAAGTTGAAATTATCTTGAGATTCAGACCTTAGTTTTTTTCATTATTATGCGCTTGATGCAATAACGCGAGCCCGAATTAAATAGCGAAGGCAAAGAGATCAGCTGCATTTTGTCACTATCTTGGTGCGGCATCAACATGTGGTAGGTCCTTTCCATTCCTTCACTAACATATGACCTCCCATGAACAAGTAAAATCTAGTCACTCCCTTACTTCATCTTCTCTGTTCCGAGTTTCATATAAATCGGGGAGCAGCTCAAGGCTCTGCTCCGATTTTGTGAGCCCCCATCGGCTGTAGATCTGGAAACCGCTATACCTTGATCTCGCCAATGGCTCCACCTCCACTCTTCTACTCTGGTTCCAGAAACACAATCCTGTTTTCTCTGCTTTTCTTTCTCTTTTTTTCCACATGTATCAGTGCCCCCTGCCTTTCTCAACTTCAGAGTAAACAGTTGTCCGGTATTAGAAAAATGTTGGAGGTACAAGATGAAGATCCGCCACCGAAAAAGAAAACCGCCGGCCTGGGCCAATCCCTCAAAAACCAGACCAAGCTGATCAAGCCTAAACTGACTTCTTCCAAAAACCAAACCATCAAGACCATCCCATCCGACCATGTTTTTTCCAAAAAGACCATACAATCCAACAATTTTCCCGCCACCAAAAACCAAACCAAGCTCGCGAAAGTCAGCTCCTACAGAAACCAGATCAAGCTCTTGAAAGCCAGCTCCTCCGAAAACCAGACCAAGCTCGTCGACACTGGCCTCAAGAAGCTCAATTCCACCTCCAAGCTCAAGATGCTCAATTCCACATCAAAAACTTCAAACCCCACCAAAACCAAAACGGCTCCAATTTCCAGCAAGAAATCCTTGGATCTTCCCAAGACCAGCGACGCCAAGAACAAGACTACAAAGCCTGCCGCCGCCAAACAAACCAAATCCAAATCCAGCGATCTTCAGTCCAACAAGTCAGGAAAGAACCAGAAGGCCAGCCCGCAGAAACCGAAGAAACAACCACTGCCCAGCTGGATCGACTCAGACGAGGACGATGATTTCGTTTCGGATTTGAAAGATCTGCCCACCAAGTTCCAACAGACACTGATCCCCGACCTGAAGACAATCTCCACCACCTCCAGAGCTTATATTACCAGAGCCAATAAAGAAATCACAAAGGGATTCAGACCCTACGTCGGCAACAAATACGCACCCACCGTTGCCACCGTACTTTCGTGCGCTTTCGCTTTGATCCCTCTGCTTTTAGTGTCGCTAATCTTCAATAAAATCAAAGCTTATTTCTCCGTTCAGAAGGTCTTAATTTTCGTCCAGATTTATCTCTCCATCTACTTCTCCATTCTCTGCCTGTCCGCTCTGATCACCGGGCTGGAGCCTCTCAAGTTCTTCTACTCTACCTCGCAATCCACATACGTGTGTCTGCAGGTGCTTCAGACTCTGGGTTACTTGTTTTACATGTTGCTCGTTCTGATGCATCTCGTCCTGGTGTTCTCCACGGAGAGTGGGATGGGCTCAAAGTTTCTGAGTCTGGCCCAGACGTTTTTGGGCTTTGCCGTAGGGTTGCACTATTACGTCACGGTGTTTCACAGGGTTGTGCTGCGGCAACCGCCCAAGACCAATTGGAAGATTCACGGGATTTATGCTGCATGTTTCCTCCTGATTTGCGTGTTTGCCGGCGCCGAGAGAAGGAAGAAGGCTTACATGGAGGATGGCGGAGAAGAAGGCAAGAAGAGTTAATTAAGTTGCATTCATTAGGTTATCTCCAAAGTATCACCATTTTGAAGGCTCATGTAATACTATGCCTTAAAGGCTTGGCTTGAGGTCTTCGCCATTTGCCAGTCTGCTTTGTTCAGATTCGTTCTGTTCTAAATGGGGGGAGTTGGTGGCAATAATCCATCAACCCTGTAGTCGGTTGAACGCTTCACATGACCCTGCCTCCTCCACCAACAATTTTTTTTCTCCCATCTCTCCCTCCTTTTGTTTTGGATTTATATTGTTTATCAAGTCAAATTGTCATGGTGTGAAAACCCAAGCAAACAAGTTAAGACGAGTGGCAATCTTCCTCTGAAGATTTTTAACTTGTCTGAGTTTATAATGAGACGTTCCATTCTTTTCTCCCCCCCCCCCCGGTCGAACCGGACGTAAAATGGATTCAATTAACTCTGCAGCTACATTGGTGTCCAAAATAAAATAAAAGGTTCATTCAATATTGCCTCGACTCGAGTTACATTTATTTTTGGCGCGTCATAAGCAGAATATAGAGGGTACTACTCCACCGACGGTCTCTTGTTGCTCCTTTATGTCCTTATCCATGTGGGTTCTATAATCTGTACTATTTTTTGAGGGCTATTCACTTGCTGTTTGTGGCCACCCATTTGCAGATGCCTGCTTCAACTTTCGAGCCTCTTTTTTCTGACATTTGTTCAGGGAACTGGCTCTGTAGACGCGGCGTGTTTTTGGGCGTTGTTGTTTGTTACCCTCGCTGATTGACATCCCTTATTATCACACGCTGATATTGCTATGATTAATATTATAATTACTCAATGTGAGTCTATATCAAACATTAATTAAACAAGTTATATGATTCTTTTGGTCCACCTCCAAAAAGATACCATTTGGCAACAACTAAATGAACTGGTTATGTTAAAGGAAAATTGTTGAGCAGAACTTTCCAAGTATATCAGTCCCATAATTAATGTTGCCTTGTCAAGTTTATGGAAACATAATTTCTCAGAACACAGTGAAAGCAGTGAAAAAGAGAGGATACGCAGCATGCGAACGACTTAAGCACCAAGTAAATGCACATGAAATGAAAGAGTGGAAGCCCTGAAGAACGCGGTCACATATCAATATATTACTTAAGGATTAAAATCTCGCTTCAACGAATTGAGGGGCTATAATAATAACCTTTCCCTAATATGGAGAAAACTGATCATTAAAGAGGAAAGTTTACCCCAATCCAATTATACGACATCCTTCTCTGCAGAAACAAACAAGGCCTGTAGCTATTACTATCTGTCCCTCTCGTGCTGATGCCATTGTCGCCATCTGATTAGATTGCAGTCGCTTTCTATGCAAGTGAGTGTTTGACAGGTTCATTGTCCGTCACTGTCTAATCTCCAAGCTTTGGTACCACCTAATTATCAAAATTCTCACGCCTTATCTCTTTTTCTCAATAATTCCAAATCACCTGCTAAACACCGACCACTTCTGAATTCACGGTCACGGGTTATCAATTCCAGATAGCATTCTCTTACAAGCCCTATAATCATGTTCTTCAGTAAATTATCTTTTTTATCTAAACATATCAACTGATTGCACCGACGTCATTATAAACCAATCGAGAGAGAGAGAGAGAGAGAGAGAGAGAGAGAGCGCGCGCGTATGAAAAAGTGGGAGATGCCCAGTCGTTTCTTTGAGAAGAGCCCATCTATTTTTAGGCCTGGGTGAGAAAAGCCCGTTTCAACTTTTCAGGTGCCGGAAAAGTTTTCTTTTGTTTTTGGGTAAAAGAAAGCCCAAAGAAAGACAACTGCAGAAACAGAATTTTAAGTTTCATTATGTTATAAAAAAAAAAGAAATAAGTTTCAATACATAGTGAATTAATGTTTAAATCCCTGCAAGCAGAGAGATGTTCACATTTAATATATAACAATACTCCAAACATGATTTTCTCTAATATAAAGATAGACGTGAGTAACCAAAAGAGTTTGAATAGAACTGTAATTTTAAAAAAAATATTCTGCTGGCTAAATCCAAACAGTTTCAGGTAGCCCGTGCTCATATTTAGATTCAGTGAGAGACAATGAAACTTGATTTGAATCATCCATTTGCATCTCACAGTTAATCTCAATTATTCCTTTCTTTATTTAGTAACATGTCTGGAAGATTTCCAAGAAAACTAGGAGATAATAAAAAAAAAAAATTGCTGCAATCTTCAACACTACGCCATTGTATAGTGATGGAATTTTGATTTAACAAGCCTACTGTATCACTAAGATTTAAATACATGATATCTTACCGCATCTCACTGAATCTAAATCAAACCTTGCTTCGCATCAGAAAACTGTGATGCACGAATCACATGATTATCCACAAAAACATAAATTATGGAACAACCAATCCCAATCACGGATCCAAGCAAATGGCCGGCCCAGGCCTTCCGAGTGCTATCAGTGGCAGTGTTTCACTATTTCCCCTGGAGATGGCACTGCCAGATCGCCTCATTCGTGTCCCAGATCACAAAAGCAGTGCTCAATTAAGAGTCAAATCAATCAGTTCTATTCAGATAAAAAAAAAATAATCAGTCAGTTCTATTCAGTTTTAAGATACAAAGCTTTAATCAATCATACTATTCATTTTACCATTAATAAAGAAACTCTGCTCAAATTTCGTTGGGGGGCCAAAAAATACATCTAATTAGGAATAAAAAAAATCAGTACGAACGTGAGGCATGGGGTTCAAGCATCACATGAGAGCAGCCTATAAGAGATTTTGTAATTGTATGTGTATATTGTGTGGGTGTGTGTGCTTACAACTTACTATACTAGGATACCTAAATTTTAACTCTATCTTGTTCATGTATTTGTAGGGTTGTTTTATTGTTCTAGTAATCTTGAGGGGATATGGACAATGAAAATCATTAAATCACTGTCTAACACTCATTTCAATTATTGGAAGGCATAGGTAAAGTGATCTAATCAGCGTGCAGTTCTGACAGATCTTCTACAGTTATACTCCATCTTTAGTAATATGTTTCTGCTGAAAAATATTGCATTCTTAAAAAATGATAACGTTCACCCCTCAATTTTTACTGTTGAAGTTGAATTTTTGAGCATTGCCCAGATGAAATTCAATACAATATTGCACTCCCAAGTCCGAGACATCGAACTTGCAAGCGCCCATATGGCATGCATATATGGTCAGAGTGGAGAACATCGTTACATTGGTCAATGATTCAATTAATCACCTTTGATTCTGATTTTGCTTTTTCCCTAAATCAAACTAGCAAACCATAAAACTTGTTGCGTTCGAGAGGGATGGATCTAAGTTGGACTTGTCGTGGTTGGGTCCCTCGCCTCTAGTTCATTCCTTGCTGGTCTCATCATATCCAACAACATACAGTGTTACATTGCATTTGCTTCTTCAATTTCACTCCTTTATCCCCGTCAAAAAAATGAATTAAGGCACCTTCTTTTTTAAACACCAATAGAAACACAAGTATTGCAAACTTTGAAAACAAAAACATGGGAAAAAAACAAAGTATTTCCCATTACTCACATCTATTGTGAAATTTAAGGCGGCATTGATAACGGGTTTTGACAAAAATTATGAGATCTAAAAGCCTATTTAAACATGAATTTTAAAATATAGGTGCATGAGTTATACATTTTAGTAACTTAATTATTAATAATCCACGTAGGGTCAAAAAATCAAGAGATCTATTACTAATAATACGTTGGACGATGAATGAAAGTGCATCACCTTATTTCTTTGCCGATATTTTTAGGGTTTATATTTGTCTGCATGCCTAGAAAAAATTTGTGCAGCCTTTTGAAAGAAAAAAGTAATGGCAATTGGCATGCAAGGTTCAAAAATATGAGTTTGATGCATGCAAAATATATAAAGACTCAAACAAACAACCATGCATGTTCGTAAAACTTAAGATTTTCTAACAAGTTGCACCTCCGAGGATACCTTTGGATATCTTTGCCCAGCTAATTATTTACAACTTTTATGACCAAGTTCTTTCAATAGTAGGGAAAGAAAAGTAACTGAATTCAAAGAGAAGAGCTAGCTAGAAAGATTGCAAAAGTAAGCCAGAGATGGAAATTTGCAAAAGACACTATTATGGAAGTGTATGTAAGTGCATTGCAAACTCAGCTATAATGCACATCTTCTCGTAATAAATTAAAAAGAAAGCATCATGACAACCTTAAATGGGAAATGGGAAAAGATCCCTAGTGGCATGGTCCATAATTCAGATTATGCATGGGATATATAGAAAATGAAGACAATAATGACAACTTCAATGTACAAAGTGAATAGATGATGAGTTATGCAAAAAATGACCATCCAAGGAAAAATGGCTTGTATTGGGAAAGCCTGCTTAAGAAAGTATATCTATGTGTCTACAAACTTTGATTTTAAAACAACCTCAACATGTCTAACCCCTACCTTTATAAGATCCTCACCTCCATTACAACATATATGTGGCATGACACATCAGGATTAATTTCAAGCTTCGTGGCTCTTCCAAATCAACATGTTGATAGCCACGTCAACTTTTGTTAAACCCTATTTTCTTGATGCATTTGATAATCATAAGGATTGACCCTTTAAACCATGTAAAGTATAAAAAAAATAGTTTAAAACAATTACAAATACAAGGACCATAACGAAATGTCATGATAATTATGCACACTAAATGATCAATATGTTCCCATTGCCCTTGTTATTTTTGCAAATTCCTGGTCCTCTCTATTTAGATTTCCTTTTATATTTCTTCATTTTGTAATAGGCAAGTGTGTAAGAACAAAAGACCTTTAACACCTGTTTGGTCCATGGAATCAAATGGAATGTAATGATATGAAATGAATTGGAATGTAATGATGACTACATAAGTTTGTTTGGTTTGATATTATGAATGATAAAAAAACTTTTTTTTATTTAATTAAATACAAATAAAAGTAAAAGAACAAAAAAGGCCTGAAAGAAAACCCATTGCTTCCTCATATCTCTAGCATCCTCGGCAGTAAAATGAGAACCATCACCATTTCCTTCTTTCCTCCTTCATCTTCCTTATATGGCCAATAACTACAATTAGGTTCATTCAAGTTAAAGGGAAAGAAAGAAACAAATATGAAAAAAGCTAGTAGATTTGGAGATGATTAAAAGAAGGTGAACGAGCGACTAAAGCTTGGAGTGTAAACGATCGAAAAAGACAAATAAACAAGGCTGAGATTGTGGTTTTAATTCAAATCCACAGTTCTAGTTGACAAGTATTGCTAAGTATGTTTGGTTTACCTTTCAACTGAGGTTGGGGGCAACCTAAACCTCAGTTGGGAGGTAAAACACCCATTATCCCATTTAAAATCTTATTTGGAAGAAAAAAAAATTTGAACGAGTGACAAGACAAAAATGAGTGTTAGTAATGAAGCCAGGGAAATGAGCTTATTGACGCGCGTTGTAGAATGGGCTTTGATATCAGATTCTCTCTCCTCCTTATCTCCCTTAAAATTTCAAACTGTTCTAAAATGGACTCGCGCTCTTAGGTCCAAATCTTCAACATTCTCAGTACCAATTCCATCTTCCTGATATCATCAAAACTTACTGATCATATAATTAGGTCCATCTGCTTGAAGATCCCCATCTTATGCCCTAGCGTTGATGGAATTTGAAGAGATTGATGGCTACACCATGCAAGCATTAGACATATTGGAGACCATATTAAAGGGATTCAGCCGACTGGTGAGCATGGACCAAATTGTGAGTGTGAACAGCATCATTGCAAGAAATCATTTGACCAACGGAGGAGGTTGGTGATAACGTTGCCGTGCACATGCTTGAATAATGTGAGGAACGACGAAATGATGATGTATATGTCATATGAGGCAAGAGGGCAGTGAGCTTTTTAATTTTTAACCCTAAGAAAGAATCTTTATTAACCTTGTAAGTTTAATATATATCAATTTATTTTGCATTTTTAACTCTTCTTTTTTTAAAAATAAAATTTTAATTTACAGTTTAATATTTTTAAAAATGTCAAATTAATCCTAAAAATAAAAATAATAAAATTTATTATAGAAATAGTTTGTGCAACAATGGCAAGCCATAATTTTATTAAAAGAAATTTAATTACCAATGTGCATTTCATACGAAGTAGAGATGAAAATGTAGGTGATCATGAGCATGATATAGATACTCATGAGATATTCTTATTAAATTTACCTAGATTGTTAAGACAGATACATACAATTATGAGCATGTTTGTAATAAAATTAGAGACCAAATTGTAGTTCATATGAATTGAATATTTTATAATTTAAAAATATATTTTAGTTTATCATAATTGAATATTTTGAATTTTATGATTTAATTCAACGCTTTTAAAAAAATTAAAATTTTTGACTTATCAATGTATTTTATATTTATAATATACTTTTCTAAAAAATTGTAATTGTAATTTTAATATTTTTTTCTAAAAACATCAAATTAGTCACACACACACACAAAAAATAAATTGATGTCTAGTTATTATACATCTCAATTATCTTTTAAATTAAATCATTTAAATAAATTTTAATTTATCTAACTCACTTTTAAAAAAACTATCTAAATATAAATTATATTATAATCACATACTTTTTTTTTTAATTTTAGTTTGTTAACTTTAATTTTTAACTTTAGTTATGACTTTTTTAATCTAAATACTCACACTGTCAAAGGAGTTTTGTGAGTGTTGTCAATGGAGCAGCGTCGCCGTCGTAAGAGTGGGTCCATGGAGAAGTCGGGAGGAAGAAGAAGGGCATGGGTGTCTTTTTCCATCATGTAATTTGGATTGCATAGGTCTGGCGATGTAATACCAATCACAGTATATGATGTTATTCGTAACCCATCCTTCACTTTGTCCAACCAAACACCCTGAATCAAATAAATGCATTCAGATTACATGTAATTCTCATGCAGCGAATCCAACTAAATGAGCTATTAATCGCACCCAGATTTAATATGGCTGGGTCTCCTTTTTTATTAAAAAAGAAAAGAACAAAGGACCCACCACGGGGCCAATCGCAAAAATAAAATAAAATAATAATAATAAAAAGAAAGAAAGGAAAGAGATAAATTGATGAATTCATACATTGCACTGTTCCTGCAATAATGTTAACATGAAAGAAATTATAAGTATGTGGCCCAGTGAGCCATTTACTTTATAATTCCTTCCCCACTATCCCACGCGCGGGTTCGGATCTCACTCGTCCAGCCATCTCAAAATTCTAAACAACTAAACAAGTGCGCCTGCTGCGCCGGGAAGTTAAGGCGTGGCACGGCGCGTGCATGTCCTAACAAGTTCAGTCTTCTAGGGAAAAAATATTTGAAATATTTGGTACCAGCGCTACATTGAAACAGTGCGTCTTCACTGGAGGGCTTCTCGGCTGTCGGAACCAAAGCCCCCAAGAAGCTCCGTTGTATACCCCTGGAGTTAGACCTGCAACTTCCCCCTCCTCTCCATTAGGTGCCGCTTCTCTTATGTCTCTTCACTAGCAGGAGCTGCGTAATACAGAAATAGGGAAAACCAACACCGCCCTTCTTGGCCCTGTCCAGGCGAAGACTCAAACGAACAATAAAAAGAGGTTTCTTTTTCATTTTTCTTAAGGATTATTTTCATCTCCGTGTCTTTCCTTTGTGCCTCCGAACGGGCGTATTCGAGGTACCGGCTTTTCATTCTATCTGTTTTTGCAATTTTACCTTTTCTTTTCTTGCAGTATTTTTTGATGTCGAGTTAGTTTACAATTGGGTACATTGAATCTGTCCTTAATTTTTTCTTTCGTTTTGGTTTTTTTGGTTTCTCTGCCGTAGGTCGAATTTTCGTCTAGTGATTCGGATTCGATAGTGTTTCCCGTACTTATTTATAGCTGGTTACGTTGGATCTGATTGATGTAGACGACATTGTTGTCTGTGCATTGTTCATGCTCGTTGATTTACCTAGCTTCATAATTCGTCCTCTCTCTCCCCCGACCCTCTCTCTCTCTCGGGCATAAATTTGTGATGGACATTTCATCAAAATTGTCCACATCCGTGATTCAATGTTATAGGGCTCAACTTAATGAAAGTTGAAATGTGCTGTTTGCAGTCATTTTTGATGTAGACTGTGACAACCGACAATAATATATGCATTTTGTTTCAACAACTCCTACTTCTTAACCTATACTCTTTTGAACTGAAAATAAGCGTGTTACACAAAAGAAGCATGTAGGAATATGTTGTTGACGCTGCATTGAGTTGATGTGAGTTTTTGTCTCGTTATCATTAAAATTAGGTGTGAATTTCTTATTGGTTCGGCAAAGATTTTGACTTTATAACTAGATGAACATCTTAGCATGTAATGTATGAATTATCTGGTTCGAAAGAAATTCTTATGTTGACTGGGACATGGTCCTCTGCGAGCCCACGATTTCCAATTTCTTCGACCCGTTTTGAAGAAATTTGTTGTTAAATGAACTCAGTGGAAAAGTTTGTAAACTGAATATCTTGCATTTTCTTCCTGATATTTGGGGAATTACAGACAAGTCATCATCAATTCTTGTTCTTGAGTATTTTATGACATGTATTATGGAGCACAGTAGCATGCAGATTTTGTATCTATTTTGTATCTTTCCATTTCTGATATAGTGGGGAATAGTGATCATGTATGTAACTTCTTTGCAGTTCTGAAATAGTCCCTTTGCTTCAGCCGCCTGATGAAGAATTGACTTCTTGATTCATAAGATTGTTGCTATAACTCACTGCACATGGAGAAGATATCAACTGACTGTCCGTACCCAGGATGCTTTTTCTGTGTCATGAAGGAAGGGAATCCCAGCAAGCGGAGGGCAAGTATACTAAAATTCTTTAGAGAACTTCCATCACAAGATGATGATGGTCAGGTTCTTCCTATCAGCGGTCTTTGGAACACAGCAATGGCACATCCAAATGACCCTGAATTCATAGAGTTGGGAATATTTGAATGCATGGCAGCTTTGATATGGAAAGGACTGAAGAATCGGCGCTGGCTGTCTCATGACCAGAATATATATATTCCTTATTATGCTGCTCACATTATTGGTTCCTACACAATGAATATGGAAGAATTTGCAGAAAGTGCTATACATGCTGGGGTGATTCCTCCTTTAGTTGAACTTTTAAGAGGTAGATTAACCTGGGTTGAGCAGAGGGTGGCTGTTCGAGCTTTAGGGCACTTAGCTACATATGCTACCACTTTTCCTGCTGTATCAAGTCATGGTGAAATTCTTGAGCTCTCCATCCAATTAGCAACAAGTTCTCTTGAAATAGTGTATTCACATTTCTATCAATTTGTTGATAGAAGGCTAAGTTACCACTGTGATCTGCTCACCCGTGGCATGGGTGGAGTCGAAATGGAATCTAGGAAGGCTGAGGAATGGGCAAGTCAGTTGCAATGTTGGTCTCTTCAGCTCATAAATTGCTTTGCTTTTAAACCTGAATTTCTGCCGACCATATGTAAACCTGAATTTCTCATCAAACTCCCTGGCATGTGGGGCGGACTTGTCAATGAAAATTCACCAGCTGGGATTGGTTTATTAAGAACAATTTGTCATCACAAGCTTGGTAGGGGACCTGTTGCCAACTGCTCAGGTATCATTGAAGCCTTGTGTAATATTGCTCGGTCATCAGATGATTGGCAGTATATGGCTATTGATTGTCTTCTATGGCTGCTTCAAGATCCCAATACATGCCACAAGGTGAAAGCTTGCTCAGTTTTGCATGGTTACTTGGTTCTTATTGTGACGCTTGAATTACATTTTGTTCAGGTCCTTTTTATAATGTTAAAATACAAAATACTGATTGTTTTGGAAAGAATGCTTGACTAGCTAATGAATCAATTTTGACTCTATTGCCTGGGAATTATCTTCCTTTTAGCCTTGAAGAGAAACAGACATAAAGAGTCAAGACGAGAACTTTGATATTTTTCACTGTGCTTGAATTCTTATGACTGTTTGCCTAGTAATTTCAACCTTAAATGTGAATGAAGCACTGGGGAGTGGGAAAATAATGAATGATCTAAATGCTTAATATTATTTTACATATGCGTGTCATGAATGTCTAATGGCATTGCTTTAAGGCGTCAGTCTGTCAAGCCTAGGGTTGAGTGTCACCTAATATGAAGGTTCATGGCTTTTGTTATGCCACCAATGAGTTCTCTAAACTAGAAGTAAAATGATAATAGATTACCTCGTGTTCAGAGGATCATTCGGTTCTATAATTTCTCTTCAATTGCTTATGCTTGTGTTCTTCACTACATGACCACCACTCCAGAGGATCTAAGTTTATATTATTCGGTTATTGTTAATGCACCAGCCTGAAGCACTTAAGACTTTGGTATATATTATATGCAGGTGATTGATAAAGTTGTACCTGCATTGGTAGACCTTGCGGAAATTACAACTCTGGGTGATCACAAGAAGCTTGGTGACTCCGTTGTTAATGTTCTTCAGGATTGCTTGGAATCGCAAGGGTCAGGAAGAAGCTCAGTTAGTAGCCGCACTAAAGAACAAATTGAGGAACTACTAAATTCAAAACAGAGATTAAAATGGGAAAAAAATATGCCCAAGGAAGATCTACATATCAAGCAGGCAGCAGCACTAGTGGTCAAGCTAGAAGGGAATTCTTTATTCTCGTCAGGAAATATATCTGGAGCAGCATTGAAATACTCAGAAGCATTATCATTGTGTCCAGTGAGATCCAAAAAGGAGAGAGTTGTTCTATATAGTAATCGAGCCCAGTGTCATCTTTTGCTTCAGCAACCCTTAGCTGCCATAAGTGATGCTACCCGTGCACTTTGTCTCCATAATCCTGTCAATCGTCATGCCAAAAGCCTATGGAGACGAGCACAGGCTTATGACATGCTTGGGTTATCAAAGGAGAGTTTGTTAGATGCCATTCTATTCATCAATGAATGCTCACAATCAAATGATCCTGATCTCTCACTGAGGCAAAATAAAGTTCCTGATTATGCAGAACGCTTGGTTAAGAAGCAGATGCGTGCTGCTTGGTTATTTAGAGAGGCAGCTATCAAACACGGAGGTGTTCATAGTCAGGGTGATGGTGGTGACCTCTATGGCCCGGAGACTGATGATTCTGAATGGGAGACGGCAAGTGAAAGTGATGTGGAAAATGATAGAAGAGATGATGATATTGGTGATGACGATGATGGTAATGATTGGAAGAATGATGATGAGAGGAAGGATAAATATGATAAACCTCCAATATGAGGTACATCCACTAAGATAATTTCCTGTTAATATTTTATCGCTGTCTTGCTTTTTTAGATTATGAGTCTTTGATGGGGTATGCTATTGTCTAATGTGAGGTGCATCCATTTTGAGATAATGTCCTGTTAGTATTCTTGCTTATGCTGGTAGTTTAGTAGAAATTTTAATCAGCTCCTGATGCCCCACCCCCCCCCCCCAAAAAAAAAAAAAGATTCACTCTTAATCTGGCAACAAGAAGGTGTTTGGTGGAAATTGTTATTTGTTAATAAAACCACCGTACCCCCACTCTTCTGCACACACATCAGCCTAGGCGTTGTTGTCTGAAAGTACAAGTGTGATCTGCAGGAGATATGTGATGCATTCTATTGTGCGATGGCCTTTGCTCTTTCATGTTTGGTTCTATATTTTCATGAAGACTTCTTCTGTCCATTGTTCTAAATATTTGCTTCCTTTGTTAAGTAGTCATGCCATTGTTTTGAAATTTGGTTTGCTCCAGATACAAAGCATGGATACACTGCGCAACTTGCAGAAGAGAAATTATGTTCATAGCTTTCCTTCTTTTCGCCGATGTGATAGTTCACTATGATGGATCAAGCAGAGTTAGCTCTTGTGATTTGTTTTAACTCCGCTTGCTTTGTGGGCTTTTAAACGCAATTGTATGTCTGCCCATTCTCCCAAGTAGCGGGTTGGAAATGATGAAAGAGTTTTTGGTCTGTTCCATATTTCTTCTCCCCATTTTTTCCCGTTGATTTAAGTGTAAAAATTGAAGATCTCTAGTTTGGAGAACTGCATTCCATTTGGGTGCCGTGAAGTGTTGAGATTTGTTGAGGGATTTGTGTATATAAACCTTTTGTGCTTAAATTTTGCCGAGTGACATTTTTACACCTTTATTCTAAAGGCGGTTCTTCCGATTAGCGATATGATGAGGTTTATCATCATCTATCACTCTTCAAGTAGGATTCCGTTACACTGCAAATGACCATACTATTTAGCGGTTGTTACATAGTCATTAGTTGTTGCAAAAATTCCAGTATATTTGGTCTTTTCATGGGAGAAAACTGGCACGAGGCCAGCGTTGAGCGCGTCTTACAGGGCGAAACAAACAACTTGCAAGCCAAGTCCGCCCTTTACACCGATTGATTCTTCCTACTCTCTCAAGTTGTCTAATGGACAATTCTTCCTCGCAAGGTGCACGGAAGAGAGAATTAATGCTGGGACAACTTAATTATTTCGTTCCTTTTACTGCATGATCCTGACGGGTTATAAATGGGCCTAATCAGATTAGATAAACATTAGTTTGATTCCTCTGTACCGCGTGTCCTGGTGCATCAGCTGCTTCACCTCCATAAGTGCTAGAGGCTCCGGATGCTGGCAGCCAACAGCCTCCCCGTTCAGCAAGTTGACAGCCTCCTGGCAGTCAGTTTCGATCACCACCCTTCGCCAGTTCAGATCCCATCCCATCTTCGGTCCCCACAGCACACCCCAAAGCCTTAGTTGTGGTGTCTAAACATCACCTTAGATCTGGTTTACTTTTACTTTCAGATTTTTTTTTTTGGTTCTCCAAAATATCTTTATAGCCAACTGTCATGACACTAATAAAAACTAAATCTAAAGTTCATTTGTTTTCATTTAGTTATACATGCATGTCAAATCATAAAAATACTTTACATATTAAATTAACTTGAGAGTAGAATTATTTTAAGGAGAAACATATTTGCAAGATTTTAAAAATTGGATCGCTCATTGAATCGGACGAGGCACTAGTTCAAATGTTAATGTTTTGACCGAGGTCGAGCCGGATATGATTATTTTAATATTTTTAAATAGTATATATGTATATGTATCATAAAATAAGTTCATCCAAAATCAAAAAAAATAATATTTTAATAGATTTTATTTCATCTACCTCATTTTTTAATTTAGTATAGATAGCATTTAACAAAATTTCGTTTATTGAACAAAAAATAAATGAATAATAAATAATTTTTTTATTTTCCTCCCATGTCAAAGTTTTCCTGTCCTGCGGCCTTTTTCTACTTTTATTTTTTTGTTCCTTTTAATTATCAAGACGACGCTGCTTCCGTATTCCTTGCTCCATGCTCTATTTAATATATTAATAATATAATATAATAATATAATAATGGCATGCCTGTACGCGGAGAGAGAATACACTTCTAACACCCTTTATCTAATACAGAGGACAAAAGCCCTAACTCCATCTCCATTCCTCTGCCGCTGTCGTGACTGTAACTGCAAGATTTTGAGCTTCGCATCACATGATTTCATGGCCAATCAGATAGTTTTGCGGTCCGAAAAACATATCTATGGTGGTGGTTTGCTGTAAACTATATTCTTTTCCTGGTTTTTGATGAATATCTTTTTTCTTCTTCATCTTCATTTTTCTTCTGAGTGTCTTCCTTCGGCTCGCCTCGTCTTTTTCCAACTTGATTCTTTTGAACCGCTTAAACTAGCCACCCGATCGCTTTTTCCAGTTTTTTCGGTTTACTGGTGTTTGACTGGTTCAGATGGCTCACGGTTTTGCAATATCAACCAGACCGGACTAGTGGCCGGTTTTCAATTGGCTAGTTCGATACGATTTTTAAAACCTTCAAATAAAATATGAAATAATTTTGCAAGCCCAGAGATTTTCTTGCTATTAAGTATTTTGTTAAAGGGACAGAATTCCCCATATGTGGAATAAATGAATTTTTTATTAAAAATAAATAGAGTTTAATTGTTATTCATAGATTTTTTATTGTAAATTTCATTTGGATAATTTGTTAAATTTCTCTATTTTAACAAGCATAAATAATATGAATTATGTAAAATAAATGAGCTTTAAATATTATTTATGAAATTTTTATTGTAAATTTTATTTGAATAACTTATAAATTTCTTCTCTCTCAACAAGTGTAAGCTATATGAATTATGTAAAATGAATGAATATTTTATTATTAATAAATAAATTTTAAACATTATTCATAAAGTTTTTATTGTGAAATAAATAAATATTTTATTGTTAATAAATAGATTTTAAATATTATTTATGAATGTTTTGTTGTGTATTTTACAAGGGGTTGATTATGTTTTTTCAAAAGAAAAAAAATTGCAAAAGAAGTCTTTAGACATATAGAATTATTTCACATTTTATTAAACTTTTAATGCAAATATGTTGGTTCAAGGAGCCTATAGTGCAATTCTCTTTTTGTTTTATAAAAATTAAAAGAATTAAAATGATAATTTAAGAAAACATAAATGATTAGATTATTAAAAATTAAATTTAAATAACTACAGCTTAAACAAGGTAAATTTAAGGGATTAACAGTTTTATTATTTTTTAGTTTTCTAACCAATATGCACCCTCCATCCCATTGAGCTACCCTCAAATAGCCCATTAATATTGGAGTTTAATTAATATAGTAAATCTGTCCTCTTTTGATCAGGTAACGATGGCCTCTTATCTTTGGAATCTAATAATGGAGCGAATAACCTCTTTTCTTTATACTTGAGCAAGAGACACTATAAAGTTTTGATATCCCTTTCCTATGAAGACAATTGCTATCACCGGTATGGTCATGCGTTCGGTTGCACAAAAAGCTGTGTTCTAATCTAAAACTAATTTTTTGTCGTTTCACTTCATTTTTAAATTTTATCATATTTAGTCATGACCATTTTTTGGCAGCTTTAGTTAAAATTACCTCCTCTTTCTTTTTGATAACTAAAATTACCTCCTCTGAAGTGTCAATACTTTCACAGAGGTGGCTATTCATGTGTTACTTCGTTAAATTTTCACGTCTACATATCACTTTTATGTTGCTTGTTTTTCCCCCCTTTTTCTTTCCGGTTACATGTTTTTTCCTGCCTGCATGACTTCAGAGAACTATTAGTACATCATTTATCGTTGATCGCCAGGTGGTAGGTTCTCAAAAAATGAATTAATAATGTAAAGGCAAAATAACAGTTACTTCCTCCGTAAAAAAATGTAAGATATTTTTAATCTTTTAAAATATAATTATTATCTTTTTTTTTAAAGTATCCCTATTGATGAATAACTTTATATTTATTATAAGGTATTTAACATGGATAAATATAAAAAAATAGAGTTAGTTTGAAAGTAGGTAACTATTTTATTAGAGAGTGAGATTCGGTTAAAATGCCTTATATTTTTTAATAGAGGGAGTGGGTTCTCGAAAAATGAATTGATAACAATTAAGTCCCCAATAATTTTTTTTTGTAAAATAAGTTAAAAATATTGATTTAAATTATTATAAATTCAAGATTTTTAATTATAAATAAGTATTTAAATATTAAATGTAACTCTTAGATTGTAATAAAAAGTTTTGTTTGTAAATATTTGAATTAATATTTATAATTAATTTTGCAGAAAATTTTGTCAGACATCTAATTATCATTAATTTATTTCTTTTAAACTTAACTGTCATTATTTCTGATGTAAAACACGTGGAGTAAAGTTTGTATAAAATTTTTGAAAAAAAATGTAAAGTACTTGTATAATATAAAAGGATTTTTTTTTTTTTTTGAGGGGTTGGGGAGGGGAGGAGAGTTTTTGATTTCAGGGTTATTGCTCCCCAGTCTCCTCATTCCTTCGCGGTTGACTGATCCTAATAAGAATTTCACGTCCCTTTTTGTGCAAGGACAAATTTTTTTAAACAAAGTTTTCATCCGGTAACATGTTTTTCATGTTTTATTTGTCTTTTCTTTTTTTTTTTAAAAAAAAATCTTTACAGAGTGAAGGGAAAATTATCTAAGAATTAGATTTAAATTGAATTATTGATTGATCGATTGGATGCATTGCACGTAATTCAAGGCTTGTCTGTTTAAGTTTTTTTTAAATAAAAAACAACTTATTTTTAATAAATTTTTTTGATATTTATCACTTTGAGTATTTTTTTTGAAATAATTTAATGTAGTATATGAAAGATAATATCAAAAAAGTTTGAAGATACAGTAAAATATTATAAAATTTTAAAAAAATTAAATAAGAAATTTTTTATAGATAGAAATCTTTGAAGATATCATATAATTTAAAATAATTAAACAAAAATTATTTTTTATTATTGTAATTAAATGTAAAATAATATATATTTTTTATAAAATCTATACAAAATAAAATTATTTTTATAAAATATATAGGTTATTTAAAAATTATTTTTTTATTTTGAATGAGCTGTCCTTATACATAAAGTTTGATTTCCTATAATTTCTAAATTTAACTTAATTATATGGAGTACATAGTAGATAACTTACCAAGCGGTAATGATATGGGTGTGGATATGGTTGTTAGACTAATAAGTTTTATTGATTTCTTTATTGCTTTGGACTAATGATGATTTAGATTTAGAGTTGAAATTGGAAGGATATTTCATTTGAATAGATGAAAAACCCATAGTTGATCTAAATTTAAATTCATTTTTTATTATAATTTCTTCATAATTTCAATTCAATCTATCCATATATTATTTAAATCCCATCTATTATTTAAAATTTTAGTACTTTAACCTTTTCTTCATTTTCATGTTTTGACACTCTTGCTTCTTTTCTTATCTATCATTCTTGCTTCTTTTCTTACCTATCATTGTTGTATTTCGTTATTTGAAAAACATAAGTAAACTAGCCACTCTTAATTTTCTTTTTTCATTTTGAATTTTAATTTGTTGCTATTTTTCTTTTAATTCTTCTTCACTTTAAATACATAAATTTTAAATATAGAATCACGAGCATTCACCAATTCAAACGTCAAGTTAACAACCAGAAAGTAAGGCCTAGAAGTTTGGAAATTTGGATTAGACTGCAACTTGTTATGCGCGTGGAAGAGTCATCATCGAGAGTGTTTTCTCCCATATAATAAAACGAGGCCGGAGTT